AGAAAAAATATATAATATCATCTCTAAAAGAATAATTTGAATATATAATAATATTCCCTTCTTAAATTCATCGAAATCCTATCAGATAAATGGAGAAGAATAATGTATATTAAATATTTGTTTTTTATAATAATTTCAATTCTAAATTCAATATATCGATTTTTATATCAATATCTTCATGAAATTATCGAATAATCTAATTTCTCCATTATCTTCAGAAAATCAGATCTTAATTTTCATTCTATTGTTTTTTTCGAAAAATTAATGCAATATTATAGAATCGATTAATATATTATCAATTCAGATCATAGTAGTCAATATTATATGTTCCATATCTTATTATTCTTTATTATTTTTCTTATTTTTTAGGACGCCTCGTTCTAAATATATTCAAAAGTGCAGGCGAATTTTATTTTATAATAATTACTGAGCATGAAAATTCTTATTCTAGAAATATGAATAGCTATTAGCTCGTTATATTTATAGACTAGTAGCAACAACCAATCAATACGAGCATGAATATTATTGCTACTTACTAGTATGCTTATGCTAACCAACATACTAAAAGTGCAGATACTGATATTCACACACACATACACACGCAAATACCCAATCCAATGCTATCACTCGTCACTAGTTCCAATACTGATACTCGCTTCGAGTACTTGCTAATGCCTAGAAGAAGCTAGTGCCACTTGTTTAAGACCTACCAGCACTAACATCACCCCACCTACCCATATACAAGGCCTCAAATCAAAAGTGTTCGAAGCATTGCCCTTTGTTGATGATCGTCTGTGCATGTCACCTTGCGAGATCATCGTAGTGTGCCACCCTGGCAGAGACATGAAGACATGATATCATGCACGATGATGCTTGCCGCAGAATCCACAAAGCTGGTTCGGACAGGTGATGTTACAATGCTCGTCTGTGCCTGCATTTCGGCGATGCGCTCCTTGTTCCATTCCGCGATCATCCCCTTTCTCTCCTGCGGCAGGTATTGCACCAAACGTCGCACCATGCAGTGCTTCCGCGTCGCCCGCTGCAAATCAGGAAGCGCTGGACAGGCCTCCATCGTACGCTTCGTGTTCGAGGACACCTTCGACTTGGAAAAAGCGGGCTGCAAGTAAGCTTCTCCACGACATGTCCTGTGCTCCCATTCCCGAACTTCTGGAGAAAAGTTCGTGCCGACTGCCCCTGCTTCACCATGCAGGTCAGCACAATGCCAGCTACGAATGGAAACGCCGCAGACCGTGGTGTACCTCCGGGGTCCCTGAACTCTGCGAGCAGAGACCATTCCAGGTCTTCTCTCATATACTCAGACGTAGGAGAAGCCGTTTGCTCTTGTTTCGGAACAATCACCATAAAGGGGGGCCATAGCGGCTTGCATCTCGCGGACCCTCCCTCACTGAATCGGACAACCACACGGAAGGCAGCTCCACCGCGGGCATCGAAATGAACCCCTCCGCTTAAAGTTCTGAAGACAGATGCGGGTCTTAACACCCCCACCTTTCGCTTCTTCTTTGCTGGCTGCCCAGCGAGCGCTGCTTTGGCACCTGAGGTGACTGCCCCCAACAGAGTGGATTGATGCCAGTAGGGCAGACACAGGGGGATCGGGATAGCAGTGTTGAGCTCGGCAAGTTGACACATGTTGACGCGAACTGACCATGCCCTACAGCCGTGAGCAGGTTGAGGCAACGAGTTGCGGCACAGGTGAATCACCTCGCCTGCATAATCAGGATGTGCTTCGTACATCTGCCGGACGATGCTCCGCTTCACCGCCTGCAGGATAATTCAGCAAGCACAGTTCTTTATACAATTCTGGATCTGGAAAAAGCCAACGACATTTTGCTTCACCGTGAGCGGCTTCAGCCTTGGGGATATGCTTGATGTGCATGAAGTTGCACATTCCACCGCGCGCGCACCGCGTCCTGAGACGGTCAAGGAAACTGCAACCGACGTTTGCTCTCGCCCCTTTGCTCCGTGGCCGGGCTACCTAAGGCTACAACGGCTGCCGCTTAGGTGCTCGTGGAAGGCCCTACACCGAGCTTCTCGAAAGTCGGCCACCGGGCTGAACCTGGCATCTCAGAATCACGAGACATGCAAACGACGGCTCTGCTTGCGACGAAGAAAAATCCTGCAGCACATCAGTGCAGAAGGCAAATGACTGCAAACAGGACGTGGAGTCTCTGCTTGGACGAGGCGGCTGCCGTAGAAGCGGTTGGACATCTGTTGCTGCGCCTTGAATCTTCATGTACGTGTAGTCACGCGCCACGCTGCTATGCCCTGTCAACAAGCCATAACAAGCCCAGCAGCCCTCCTAGGCCCCCTCTGCGAGGCGCACGATCAAGCCCTGCATAGATCCAAACCGAGGCTTATTGTGCCCCTTGCCGGCCTTGGCAGCATCGTCATCATTGAAGTACCTGAAAAAGTCAAACCGACAGCTATGGGCAAAGCCCTACTTGACATCGGCTGTCGCGGGGGAGCGCACTTGCAGTAGACGTGCCCGAGCATGTGCTCTGACACATTGTCCAGCACAACCATGTCTTCGATCTCAGGGACACATTCCGGGGAGCTAGCACAGGCTGCCAGGCAAAGCTTGCACTTCATGTAGTAATGTGCAGGCCCTGGACACATCGAGCATGCTGCAAGATTTTCGAGAGATCGATGTTCCCATCCGCTGTCTGGTCTGAGACATCGAGTGTGGGTACGATCCTATGAACCTGCACATGCACAGAGATCAGAAGATCATCTCGCCAACGAGGAAATTTCGACCTTCGTACACTTCAACGTTGTAACACTGCAGTGGAGACGATGCACATTCTGACCCGGCCCTGCGGTGAAACGGAACCGGTGACGACACCGACAGTGCAGCGATTCTGCACTTCGTGAAACTTCTGACAAGACTTCAAGAGGTGTCGTGCTAGATGCATCCATGAAGCTGACCAAAGTCCTACGAACCGACATGTGGCGAAGGTGCCCATACATTGCCGAAGACAGCCATGCAATCGTCAAAGCCATGGAGGCATCCAGGTTGAAAATCTGCGATCGGATGTCCGAGACTCCTGGCAGCAAGGCCGAGCACTGTTCGTACCCTGTAGCAGAGTGCAGCCTCCCCCCAACCCACGAACCAGATGTTCTCACATGGTGGTAAGATGCCTTTGTCTGTGCTCGGTTCACAGCAGCGACACAGCCGGCTCCTACTTCTTGAGGCCAAGTGGGTCATCATCATCCTGGCAATTGAAGTAATAAATAAATGCCGCCTGCTCTTCCCCTCTGAGCCGTGAAAACCACACACTGCTACCGTCGGGACCGCCCGAGGTCATTTCCGAATCGCCTAGGCTCAGTCTGTGCCCACCTCGTCCTCCGCATCAGAGAACTCCAGGCTATCCAGGCGTTCCTGGCGTCTCGGGCTGTGGTGCTTCGTGCTCAGACTTCAAGAACTTCACGATTCAATAGCTCTCGCTGACATTGCGCTGGCCTAAACGATTAAGTTCCTGTGCCCTGCATCAGATGCATGACCCAGATCTTGGCCAAAACCAACCGCAAAGAGATTGCATTGCAGAGCGGCACAGCCTTCATGGACATGCCCTCGTGCCGGTCGCCATAGGTCCCAGAAGGGCGCCGTACAGCCTCGGAAAGTCAAAGGCCCATCCCAAAGCCATGGGGGCGTAAGCCGCCGGACGAAGTTTTGGCTGCCGGGACACGTGGGCTGGCGACGGGGGCGCGTCAGCAGCAAGCACGGCACCTTTCAGCTAGCCCCTTCACGCAGGTCCAGAGTCTAGAGCTCTGAAAATCTCTGAAAGGATGCCGTCACAATTCACTGCTGAAACCGCTCAGTGCACCGGTGTCCCGCGGTGTGGAAGCACCGGAGGAGGCACTGGCAGAATCCTGCGTTGCTTCGAAGGCTTCGGACTGCGTTGCTCCGGGGTCAGGCTTCTGCTCCGCCCCTGCTCCCTTTTTCTTGGGATAACTCCTTCAAATCATCCTGGAAAAACCACGCGCACCTCCTCTTCTGCGAAGCCGAAATCTGCGGCCTGGCAGCGTAGAAAGGTTCTGGGACCCCGCTTCGCAGCAATACAGAGGCTTCTCAACGAAGGTAGGCCGTGATACAATCGGTTCGCCTGCAGCACCACTGGTCCGGCTGCCTCAGCATTCCCGGAAAGTCTCTTGATTAGATCTTCGGGCCTCCCTCCAGCAGCAGCAACAGGAAACAGTAGAAATAACAGCTGGCCGGTGGAATAGCACCACTGGACATGTAGCCTGCCTCGACAACGGTGCCACCATCGGTCAATCCATCACCTGATGACACGACCGTTTTCATGTCAAAACCTCGTGATCATGTGCAATCGATCCGGGCAGAGTTTACAAAGCTTCTAATTCTGGATTCCCAGTCGATAGGCACCTTTGGTGTTATGTGTTTTCCAAATTCATACATCGATTTCCTCAACGTTGAATTGCATACTGCAGGTGTGAACACAGGCTTTCAATGCCTGGTCTGCGGTCTCTTGAGTGTCTCACTCAGCTAAGTTCTACGGCGCTCCTTTCAAAAGCCTCAAGACTATGACACCGTTGGTCTTGTTCTCCACGGGACAACCGCCCATCTGTGCATTTGCATGGGCCTCGTTGAGGTGGCGCCGCTGGCTCGGAGGGTGCCTGGCAACAACTTCTGCGGAAGCTGGCTAAGTCCAAGGACCGGGTGTTGGCTGTGAGGTCTTCACTACAGCTAGGGCCACTCCTTCTTTCCTCCATTTGCCAGACATTCCACCTTACTTACCGCGAAGATGTTGATACCATTGTGGCTGCTCGCGCAGCTCCATGAAAAAGATGCTTCAGAGCCAGCTTGAACCATTCATCATTGCCTTCACTAGTGGCTGCTTCTGCATGCTTCGCCTTGCATGTAATTATATTATATTATATTATTTACTTTATTATACTATATTATAGTATATTATATAATATTATCAACATCTAGCCCTTGCAGCTCAGGCAACTTCTGGCCCTGCCAGCCTCCACGCTGAGGTCCAGAAAAGTCCTGACGTGGCCAAGTCGCTGCTGTTCCGTAGCGCCGCAGGGCCCAACTCAACACTGGGTTATTGATAAAGCCTACGATACTATACTATACTATAATATAATATACAATATAATATACAATATAATATAATGTATAATTGGGCTCGGACCCTCGAGCCGGCGGCGGGGAGATCTCCCCAACCTCCTCTGGCTCGGGCTCTTCCTTCGGACCTCGTTGAGCGTACAACACTGCTGCTGATACCCGCGCGGATTCGGGGTCACGAAAGCGATACCACGCCACGCCCTGGCCCTAGAATTGCTCCTGAATCTCGGTCGGGGCCATGACGAGACAGTCCGACAGAGCTTGCCACAAAACTAGCAAAAAACATGCAATCCTGCAGTAGAACTTCTGGGTCTGCAGCCAATGCTGGGTGCTTCAGGCACACCTGCACCGTCAAGTCTAGCTCTCCCACACACCGAACTGAGCGACTCCAGGGACTGGACACTCCGATTACAGTCCTTTAGAGTCCGCAAGCGCTCCGGTTTTTGATCACTGGCTGTCACGTGTAGACTGGGTTGGACTCGCCGTCGGTGGGGGTATCGTTTCGAATCGCCGCAAAGAAGATGCATCTGTATCCTTGGTGCCCCCGAGCTGCCCATGCCTACATGACACTGCTACAACAGAGCACAGCATCGCATAACCGGAAATTACAACTGTAGAACCCAGCAAAGCATGGCTTCAAAAAAACATTTTGAAGCTAGTGAAAAGCTTAGGCCCTGCACTTCAGTACCAAGCAGCGAGTTCGGTACAGCCCTTCCCTGTTGGTGGTGTAAAAGCCTTCCCTCATGTCCTGTCAGGCGAAATAACTAGCAGAAGCTGCGGAACCTGCAGCATCAATCACAGAATCATCCGTCTGAATCTCGAGCGCCCAGTTTCCACTTGTGTGAAAACATCTTGTGCACAAGCCGTGTGCATGGCGGTGCAGCACCCAGAAAACTCTCTGCCTTCGATTCACCCTGTGTAGTTCCGATACACATCCATGATCATCCACGCGGGTACAGGCTAGCTTCATGTCAATCCACTCAAGAAGATCAACCATGATCCAGGTAACTGAGCTATGGGCTCTTGACAAGGAGGTTTGCAGGTCCTCTTCTTTGAAATCGAAGTACTTTCGGATCGCGGGCTTGATCTCTTCCCAGCTCAACTCGATGGAGATCTTGGCAGGCAGGGCTTTCACAACAGGTCCGAGGAATCCTTCACATGCACATTGACATAATTCTGAGGTTTGAAATCGTAAATTGCCAACAGAACAAGTTCATCCCCTTCCCATGTCGGCTCCAACTAACAATGTCAACTCGCTACGAACATGCCGTTGCCTAGCAGTCGAGCTGCTAGGAAACCCCTGTTAGATTTCAGTTGTATCCAGACACGTGCAAAAGCCAAATCTGTCGCACAAACATTACCAGTCAAATGCCAACAGACTACGAACTTGCCCGGCTGTTGCAGACCATTTGCAAGTCCGTAACAGGACACTCGCGAAGAGATCTGCAAGTTGTCCGTCCCGCGTCCGAGACTGATATCACATCCTCTTCATGCTACTGGTTTCCCGTGCTCAAAAGGTTACCTGTAGAAGCCGTGCATGTGTGGGTTACCCTACGCATACAGACACGCGAACAGACAGTGAGATGTCTAAGAAGACGGCGTTGTCTGGCTGCTCCGCAAAGTGGTACAGCAGCCTGGGCAGCCAGAAGTTCAGCGGCCGACTTCGTCATGCATTGCATTGACAGTACTCGTCCGGATGCTTGGACTATGAGCCTACAAGTGGATATGCAGGGATGGTGCGGGGTCCAAAGAAACACAAGCCCTTAGCCCTCAGGCTTGGAGAGGACAAGCTGCGGCCCTATGTTCGCCCATAGACCGCCAGGCCTGGACACTGCTGGATAACTTCATGACCAGCCGGCCATCAGCACATGACATGAAGGGAAATCCAGCTTGCTATTGGTCTCACGTGCACGCGACATGTGCTGGTCGACAATCCCAGGCCTGATGATGTCCGCAATTGTGCGAATGTAGAGGAAAACGTTCTTCGCCGTGTCCAGGAAGAAACAAGTGAGCACCGCCTGCACCAAAGCTAAGGACGATATCGACATCAGCTTAAATCTTGGGACCTAAAGGGAAAGCCGGGTCACGTCCCAAGCGCCGTACTGCTCTTCGTAGACGTTCACAAACTCGCCCGCACACATGGAGAAGTCCTACGGAGCCGTTGCGTCTCTATGTCTACAGGGGCCTTTTTCCGTTTCAGGGCTTTCGGTTTTTTGAGCCCTGGAGCCGAGCGGTTGAACCCTGCTTTAAGCGATGCTCCTCAGGACCCGTCTCCACCCCGGGAGGGCAGAGGATGGCAGAAGGACAGACATCCGGGATACAGACGCCCCGCATGTGATCACCCATGTTCTTCCGGTTCTCCATGTTCAAGATAAACGGATAAATTGTGTGCGTGTGGTCGGCACTGGTCTCGTTCAACACCCACTTGCTACCCTGC